ACCAGTTTTACGTGTAGAAACAGCCTTCCTATCCACAGTTGCCCTGTGGTCAGTGATGAATGCTGGATGGTGCTGCACCACAACCCTGACTTAGGAATGATGGGTGGCAAAGGCTTTCCTAGAAGTCTCAGTGATGTCATTGACAATCTTTATATTCTGCAAGGGAACCTGGGAAATGTATCTTTCAGGTGGCCTCCGTGCCCATTGTTCTCTTACTAAGAAGACGGGGAGAATGGGAAGAGGGCACCCTTCTTCTCATCCCCGCCCTGTCCCTGTGCCTGATCCAACTTTGTCAGATACCTTGGGAGATAAATGAGTAGACTTCACAGAAGTGTGACGTCAAAAGCGGTACCTGCAGCACAATTGCTGGTAGTTTTCTAAGTGATTTTTTAAATGATGAGGTTTTGTTTTCTTTTTCCTTTTTGGAGCTAGAGTTGCCAACTGCTAGTAAGGATTTGAGGTCTAATTTACAGTTCTCTTTTCCATACAGAGTCTCTGAATTCCCTTTTAGTTCAGAAAGACTGTTTATGGATGATGTAAACAGAATTTATCTGTTCTCTTGTTTGCCCTCTTGTCTAAAGATTTCTTTCTGTGAAAATGTTTTGGTCTGACACAGCAATTTATAGCATGAAATTTCTATTAACTTTAGGAATTTATAAAATTTATAAATTTATAAAATGGAACTAAAAGCTCTAAGTCTAAGTGTTTGATCTTACCTTTCTGTAAAGTCTTCTGAAGTGGGATTTGGACTCTGGGGTGGTTGCCCCCAGGTGTTGCCAGTTTTATTAATGGTTTTTCTTGCTGGCATTTTTCCTGGCCATCTTCACTTGCTGGTCTAGGGCCAATGCTTGTTAGGTTGTGAAGTCATTTGCACACAGTTGGGGTGGATGGGCTGAGGCTCTGTGTTAAGTCATGAGCGCTGTGCACATCAGACTCTGAAGTGTGACATTCCAGGAGGATCTGTAAGGGCTGGAGATGGGCTCTGCAGAATCTCATCTCCTGGGATGCAACTTTTAGACTAGGTGGATTGTATTTGGTTTGAATTTTGGTTGTCTTCTTGTTCCTGGACTTAATCTGGATTAGATTGGGTCACATATGAGGGCACTCTGAGGAAAACAGAAAACATACAGAATTATTTTAACAGAGACTTGAGTGTAGGAGACTGGTTTAGTAGGTTTTAGAAGACCAGAGAAGCACAAAGAGAACATTGAGCTGCGCAGTTAGAAACTACAGGAAGCAGCTCCACCCCTACAGCTAGGGGCTCGAAGAAAGGAGATGGGGGTTTATCACAGTCAGAGGGATGGGCCCCCCGGGAGCCAGGACTCTGAATCTAGCTGCCTTCAGAGGAGGGCCCCCCAACCCCGAGGAGGTAGGCTCATTCCTTTGAGGAGCAGGTGCAGTCCACTTCTGGTAGCTCTGAGGGCCAGCAGGTTGGTTCTGGAAGTGTGGAATGAAGGTGGAAATGGGAACTGACTGCTGCTGCCAGGTGACCATTGCTGGAGCAGTATTGCCATGACAGCAAGCCCACGGGAAGAATGGCATCTCCATCCCTTCTTCTGCTTTCCTGTCCTCCTCAAAAGTGTTCCTTTTGGTAGAGCCTAACAGGCCGAGGAGATATGTGCTTTGCACAGCCTAAGTCCTTGAGTCACAAAGTATGGCGAGTAGATTAGTATTGCTGTTTGCTTTATGAGTGGGAGCAGTCCTTTAACTAGTCTTGAAGCATTTCAGGACAGGCAAGCGTTTAGGCAATGATTTGTTTTTGAAAATGAGTTGTTTGTTGACTCATGTGGTAGCAATGTTGTTCTCTGCGTTAGGTTCTTATCAAATGGAAAGTATCCAAACCTAGGGATCCAAAGACACAGACCAGACCGTCAGAATTTCCCCAGGCCTTTCCCATTGCTGCTTTTAGTTTCTGAGTCTTCTTAAAATTGACTCAAGGTTAGGTTTTGGAGTTGTGTGGAACAGGTTCCAAGTCCACTGGTGGTTTATGTGTAGAGGAAAAACATGGGATTTTGAGTCCAAAGTGGCTAGCTAGCTTTGTGACCTCAGGCAATTTATATTACTTTTGTTAACTTTGGTTTCCTCATCAAAAAAGTATGGCTGATACAGACACCTTTCCCAGCTGTTAAAGCATTGAATTATTATTTAATTGATTTTTATATATAATGTCTATAATCTCCAGGATAATTGCTAAAAAAAGAAATCCCTCAGGAATATGTAAGTAAAAGAAATGACAAAGTATTTAAAATGATATACTAGAAAATATCTATTTAATGGGAAAAAAGGAAACAATGAAAGAACTGAGGAACTTAAGGGAAGATGCATTTCTTCCATTTTGCTACTTAAGTCTTATCAGCAATTACATTAAATGTAATGGATTAAATTCTCCAGTTAAAAGGCAGAGATTGCACACAGGTTGAAAGTGAAAAAATGAAAAATATATTCCATGCAACAATAAACAAAAGAGCTGGGCTAGTTGTACAAGTATCAGACATGATAAATGTTAAGCACCCAAAGAAGGACATTATGTAATAATTAAAAGAGTTGATACATCAGGAAGATATTTGGTGCCTATTTACATAGTTAAGTAAGCAATACCTCTGCTCCTGTTCCACTCTCCATGCCTTTGCTAACCCATAAACCAAGCATTGGGGATTCAATTTATTTAGATGCTTCTTGTGTGTGGTAGCCCAGTGGATACCATTCCCTTCATAGTGCAGGAGGCCTTTTTGAATTCCTGGAATAAAGCTCCCTTTTCACCTGATGTTGAGTTTCCCCCTCCCACATAGGTACGAAGATGCCCTGGTCCTCTTGCTCACAGAGGTGTTGAATCGAATCCAGTTCAGATACAACCAGGCCCAGTTAGAGGAGTTGGATGATGAGACTCTGGATGATGATGTAAGTGACATGCCTTAATTGACCCTTGATCATTGTCATGTGTATGGAGACTTGGAGCCTCTAACCCTCTCCTCTGGAGAATTCTTAAACCAGAGTACTATCACCGATTGAATTTGAAACTTCAAAATACATTTGAAATTCTTTTATCTCCTACTGGTCTCTTGGCTCATTGAGTATAAAAATTGCTGTACAGGCCACCTGTTTGGACCAGACATGCAAGTAGAGAAACAGGTGTGTAGTGAAAAGCGGTTTAGTGCGAACTCTGTACCCTTACTTCCCTTGCCTTGCTCCCCCCACTCTGCTCTCTATCCCCAGTGACAGAGAATATTTGAGCGGATATTGATGGAAATAATTTAAGAGATATTTAAATGATGAGGTTAGAATGAAAGGAAGTCTGTTTTGAGTATATGTTGTATGGCTGATTTTGTTTTCATTTTGTTTTGTTTTGCAGTTCTGGGGATGGAACCCAGGGCCTTGAGCATGCTAGGCAAGTGCTCTACCACTGAGCTACTTCCCCAGCTTAAGTTTATATCTTTTTTATATAATCTTGAATGTATTGATGCTGGTGTGTTCAACATTGATAAGGAAAATGTCTCTAAGAACACAACTCCAGTCCTCCTCTCTCTTAACCACCAGGCACTTTAAAATTTTCAAGTAATTGCTATCATTCTTGAAATTAGAGTGATGGTGCTGTGGTGATAGCCACATTTGGGTTGGGAGGAAGAACAAGAACGCTGTGCTTGGAACCAGGTGGCCTGAATTTGAATCCCTGCAGCTTTGGGCATGGAACAGATGGAGGGTCTGGGAATCAAGTTTCTCTGAGCCATAATTTATGCTTATCACCCCAAAGGGGAGTGACTTGCCTTACTGACTTGTGTTGACAATTACATATGGCAACATATATGGCAGGGCTGGTTGAGTGCAGGAGACACAGAAGGTGCATGGTAAACTTGGGTTTCCTTTCTTATTAACTGATTTAGGCTACTGCTTCTTAACCTTTAGCTTGGATGAGAATCACTGGGCCAGCTTCTTTAAAATAGAGTGATTTTGGAGGTCTGGGTAGGGGCCAGAGAGTTTGCATTGCTGACAGGCCCTTGGATGGGATGCCCGTCGATGGGCCACACCTTGAGTGACACTGAGGTAGTCAGTATGTTCAGATACATGGTAATGGACTGTCTCAGAAGGTGAAGTGACCAACTGATTCCTACAGATGGAACCATGTAAAGGGCTCTCAGACATTTCACAAGTGGCTCTTAGGTGTCTGCACTCCTGTGATCATAGGGAAAGGTAGGTTATTCTGTGTAGATCATTTACCTTCTGAGAAAACAGCTTGTTATGAAATTAACATAACAATTTTTGTTGGATTAAAAAATAATTCTAACTTGGCCTTTTAAAATACCTGGTTCCATTATTGATTATTTCTTCAGAATTTTATTTGAGAGTGAATTTGAGGCAAAAGGGAGATTGGCAAGGAAGATGGCGAGGTTCTTCCTGTCTGGGAGAATTGATTTCCTTTGTTTCCCCACAGCAGCAGACAGAGTGGCAGCGGTACTTACGCCAGAGCTTGGAGGTAGTGGCCAAAGTGATGGAGCTCCTTCCCACACACGCCTTCTCAACCCTGGTAACTCACGAGGGAGGGGACGAAGCATCCTCTTACTTTCCTACACCTGTACCCTGGCTTGCTTTCTTTCTTCTTTTCTTTTCTTTTCTTTTCTTTTCTTTTCTTTTCTTTTCTTTTCTTTTCTGTCTGCCTTAATCTCCTCTTTAAAACAAACAAAATACACACACAGAATAACTCCCATAACCAACTCTCAAATTTTACAAATGTTAACAATTTTGCAAACTATTTTAAAGTAACTTTTAGAAGTCTTAGTCTTGGATAGAACACAAATTTTACTCTTAATACCTTCATTGAAGTCTGAAGGTAGTTGGGCCACACAGAGGAGATGTTATTTTTTTAAAGTGACGTTACTGAAAAGCTAGGCTCTGTAGAGCTTACTATGGGCTAATTGCTAGCACTTTCTGCCTGTGTTTGTATACTGGTGTCTTTAGTCATAAGGACGCATTGCATGCACCGAGTCATGCTTGCTATTTGAAGAGAGGTCATTAAATTCATCTCTTCTTCAAAGGCAAGAACTTCTTGGTTCAGCTTTTGCATATACAGCCCGGCTGTATTGTGTCTTTTTATGGAAAGAGCCACTTTACCATGCTGTCTGCCCCTCTTAGGCACATACAAGGGGCACATAAAAGTCTTTGTTTTTATCTTGATGATGAACATAGCAGCTTTGCAAAGAAAGACCCATCTCTGGTTGTCTCCTTGTCCCATTCTAGAAAGGGAAACTGACTTCCAAATAATGTGGCCCATCTTTTCACTTTGCCATGCTCTTTAACAAGGTGTGCCTGATCTCTCTGTCCTTGAGAGGGGAGATATGACCTTGTAGTAGAGCTCTAGAAGGATAGATAGATGATTTAGGGGCTTGATAGTCTATGCTTGGAATATAATAGCCATGCCTCAGTATCCTTTGCTTTGCTTAAAAACAAAAAACAAACGGAGATATTGTTTTCTTTCTTACTCTATTACTTGGTGGTTTTGGCCATAGGAATTGTTGGCATGGCGGGTGTCTGAGGTGGGAGCGCCTTCTCATCTCAGCTGCATGTGACTGGTCCTGGAGAAAAGTCTTTTATCCTGTCCCTCTGGCTATAGGCACTTAATGTTTTAATGTTAAAATTTTATTAAACTGTGCATTTTATTTTGTTTTTTAAAACTTTGTTTCTTTGTTTTCAGTTCCCAGTTCTTCAGGACAATTTGGAAGTGTATTTGGGATTACAGCAGTTTGTAGTTACTTCAGAGTCAGGTAAGCAGGTTTTTATTTTCTAATGTAATCAGACATTTAAAAAATTGCACCAGTGTTGAATTCCCACTGCCCCTGCTGTCATGTGTGACTTCCCCACTGTGGCCCCTCCTCTCCCCAATTCCCCCTGCTTCTAAACAGAGAACACTTATAAAAACTCATGATAGTGAAGCTGTGGGGAGGTAATGATAAGTTCATGACATTGTATTTCAAAGAAGCATGTGGAAAAGAAGCTAATCTGGAGCGGAGATAAGACTTACCAAAATCCCCAGAATATTTCCTTATGTCCTTTAAAATAACAAATAGGGTGAAAAGAAAATGGCCTTGGACTTCCCCGAGATGTGCTCCTTCTCTGGTTTGTAGAATCAAGAGACAGGAGCAGGTCAGAGCAGGCAGGGTCATGGTGGAGGTGACGGCGAGCTCCGCAGCTCTCCTGCTGCTGTGGCCTGGAGGTGCTCCTGTGAGCCTGCTAGGAAGACTCTGGGCCTGTTTAGAGTCCTCACCCGCTTGGGCTGTAGACTGAGCACTTGTCACTTGGCTGTTATATTAGTAGCCTCCATTTGTTGAGCCCTCCTTAGAGGCCAGACACTGTTACTCAGATGTCTCTCAGCTGTCCTGGAGGTGTCCGTGCTGTTACTCGGTGCCTGTGTTTTACAGAAGAGGACACTGATGTTCACAGATACCATTGACCCAGAGTCTCATGGCTGGTTAATGCTAGTCCAAGGTGATACAATGGGGAGCCTAAAACATTGACATGCTGGGTGTTCCTTTTTGCCAGCTACAAACACCAGTGACTTTAAGTCCCATGTGCCATCCCCAACCCCTGTCGTGCGTGTCTTGACACCATTTCATACCCCTCTCCCTCCTACATGGCATTTTCTTACAGGAGTTACCCCTGGCCCTGGCCTGGCCTGCAGCCTGCCTCTCTGTAGTGTCACTGTTGTTCAGTGGCACCAAGCTCCCTGGACAGCAGCCATCTCCTGGGTGAGCATGTTATTTGTGGCAGAGCCTCCAGGGGAGGCTTTTTCTGAGGCTGCCCTTCCTGATGGCCTGTGGTGGCTTGTTTCCATGATTATATTAGCTTTTCAATGACCCAGTGGGCCCCAGGAGGTTCATGGGACTCTGCATTCCCCAGGGCCAGGCTCAGCTTTGTGGATGGAGTAACAGCAGTGTACACATAACTCTGAAAGGGCACTTTTCAAAACAAGCATTCCTATAAAACATACTTTCAACTTATGAAAATCATTTGACTTTGTATAAATGCTGTAGATGTTTCCAGAATCCATTCTTGGAACTAATGTACCCAGGTGTTCTCTTCCTCAGGACTATTATTCAAATTAGCATGTACTCTGGACCCTAGAGACATTCTTGATATGTTGAAAAAATTAACATGTACCCCCACCCCATTGACCCGTGAGTTTCCCATTCAATGTTATTGTTGACTTTTTTATATTATAGAGTCTGTCTTGAAGTGAAAATCTGCAGTGAATCTTAAATCCTTTTTCTGAGACATCTGATAACTGAAGAGTTTCCCATTCTAGAAAGATAATCTGATTTATTTTCCTCCTAAATCAAATATCATCTACCTGCTCTTGTTGCAGCCCATTTACTGGCAATTTCACAGAGCACTTGGTTCTTCCAGGTTGTTCATAAATCTCATTCTCACCATGATCCTTGGTGCATACTCTAGTGCAAAACCTCTCAGGCTAGAGAAACACTTATTTCCTGTTTTAAAATGGGCTTTCTTATCCATGACGAAGCGTTCTCCCATGTCTTAGTGGTTCAAAAGCCAAGTTTCCAGGGCAGAAGCTATTAAAAAATTGAAACTGTTGAGTACAGAGTGTTCCTGGTTCCCAGGCCGCTTACTCCCTCAGAACACTGCCTTGCCTCTCAGCAGAGACCATGTGCTCTTCTCCCCTGTCAGGGGATGGCCCGCTCCTTCCATTTGCATTTCCCTCTACCTAGCCCTTATTCTTGGGTTCCTGGAACTTGTGTGGGTGGGAGTCAGCCACAGTTTTTGCCCTCTTCTGGTACTGAGATCTTTGTGGTGTTATTACCAGAGTGAAAGCTGTGGGGTGTCACCCAGCTCGCCCTTGGATCCCATTAGAGCATCTGACTGAGAAGGTCAGCAGCGCTTGCTGTTGCCCAACGACTGCTGATCCTCTTGCTTCCACCATAAAGACCAGGGCAAAACATGTTGTGTGGATGTGGCCATCACTTGCTGTGTGCCTGTGCTCTTGCAGGTCGTCCTCTGTTCTGTCTTTCCTACAGTGTGTGGGTTACAGAACCTTCTCATTGGGTCTGGTCTTTGTATCCATTGTGCATTTGACCTCTGCTGGTCCTCCTCACTGAGACAGTATTTCAGCTGAGCGACCCTTCAACTTTTTTGGTCAGCCATGCAGGCTCTTGCCAAAGAGATTGCGTCATCGGCGATATGTAAGATTTCGACTTATTTTCTTTGTTCTGCTTGGGTTCATTTAATATTTGTTTGTTTTCTCAGGGTGGAATTCCTCCAGTGCTGATTCTCATACCTCTACCCTCCCTCACCTTCCCCAAATGAGAACATTGTGCTGTGCTTAACTTGAAGACCCCCCCCCTTCCCCAGCAGTGACTGCCAAGGAGTGTTCTGGAAGCACATTTTATACACTTACAGATGACTTTGTTTATGGGAGATGGGATATTTAAATGTCTCTGCGTAAGTCTGCAGAGCAGAATTCTCATCTGGAGGTTCCACTTCACACATGTTCTGTGCTTTTGGAGGTGGCAGTCTAAGTCGTAGCCAAAGAGCAGAAAACGTGGGTAGATGTGAGCAGCTTTCACATCCCCCTCAGCTTAGTTGGTGCTTTGTGTGATTTTAGTTGGGGGGAGACAGTAGGTTTCTAGGCTGGGGAATTGATTTGGGGTACGTCCTGCTTGTGTGTTTGCCTTGGAGATGAAACCAAAAAGAACCTGCAGTTCTCAAAAACGGGAACCATAGAGGGCACATATGTATTAATTGAATTCTGTGGAATGCAGTTTTGTTGTGTTTTTTTTTTTAAAGAGAAAGAGAATTTTTTAATATTTATTTTTTAGTTTTCGGCGGACACAACATCTTTATTTGTATATGGTGCTGAGGATAGAACCCAGCGCCTCGCGCATGTCAGGCGAGTGCGCTATCGCTTGAGCCACATCCCCAGCCCTGGAATGCAGTTTTGTTCAGTCAGAAATGGCCCAATCTCCCAATTTCGTGAGGTTTAACCTAGTAGTTTACACACACAGCACTGCCAGGCCCTTCCATTTCAGGCGCTGTGCTTCTCTGGTCAGGACAGCCAGGGTTCTCAGAGGAGAGTAGCACCGCACCGGAAAAGGAAGGGACCCAAGAATGCGTTCCAACCCAAAGGGGGTTTGGAAGGACAGCCTGTCTTCCCATCGTGTGCTAGCAGGCTGTGACTAGATGAGTGGCCTACGGAGTGGGTGGGACCAGAGATGAGAAGGAAGAGTGATAGGGAGTCATTTTCCCTGTGTTTAACCAAATTGTTCAAAGATGGAGGCCTCCCTCAGGAGACTGAACTCCCTAGTGCTCAGGTGAGGTGTCTAAGGGAGACTGGGCCAAGAGAGGAAGGGGAAATGCTGGAGCAAGGGGCAGCGTGGACGGGCTTGGGCAGCAAACCCTGAAGTGCTCGGGGCTGTATTCAGGGGCAGGCTGGATTTAGGGTGGGCTGTTGGTTTGTTTTTTAAAAGAAACAGTGTGTTTCCTTTATATGTTTAATAACTTAAAGACCTGGATCTTAGGTATTCCTAAGGGTCGGAGTGTGCAGTACAGGGAGGAGGAGGAGACCAGCCAGTGGCCTCCAAGAGGAGGACGAGCTCGAGCAGGAGGGTGAGGGCTACTGGCGCCAAGTCTGCGGCCTTCCTGCGCTGCGCCTTGAACACCACCTGGCCGCACCTCTTCCTGCCCCTGCCCCATTCCAGGGGTCCTTTTTTCTTTTATCATGGAGCAGTGATGCTTTAGTGAGCACTGGAGGGGCACACCTTCAGGAGCAAATGGTGGCAGGCCACCATGAGGGTCTGGCTTTTTGTTTGTTTGTTTGTTTGTTTGTTTTAGTTGATTTTATTTTTTAAATACACGACAGTGGAATGCATTACAATTCTTATTACATATATAGAACATAATTTTTCATGTTTCTGGTTGTATATAAAGTATGTTCACACCAATTCATGTCTTCATACATGTATTTTGGATGGAAAGCAGTATGGAGATTCCTTGGAAATCTGGAAATGGAACCACCATTTGACCCAGCTATCCCACTCTTCGGTCTATACCCAAAGGACTTAAAAACAGCATACTACAGGGACACAGCCTCATCAATGTTTATAGCAGCACAATTCACAATGGCTAAACTGTGGAGCCAACCTAGGTGTCCTTCAGTGGATGAATAGATTAAAAAAAAAAAGTGGTATATATACACAATGGAATATTACTTAGTATTAAAAGAGAATAAAATCATGGCATTTGCAGGTAAATGGATGCAGTTGGAGAAGATAAGTGCTAAGGCTGGGGACGCTGTTTTCTGCACCAGGGCACTGCCCCATTCCTGTGGAGCAGAGGAGGAGGAAGCGGGGAATTGGGGGCAGGTTAGAGCTGATTTTTGTCACTGCTTCTCCTGGGAGTTGGTTGCACTTATACAATTGGCATTCAGAAGGTGTGCAGTTGTGGCACTTTTGTTAACTTGACAGTTAGGGCCGTCTCACCCTGGCTCACGAAGGCAGTGTTCCCTCATGACCAGAATCCGCACCGTGGGCTGTCTGCCTGGCCCTCCCCTGCTCTGGCTGGCAGAGCCATTGCTCTCTGAGCTGCCAACCCAGCATCCCTGTGGAGCTGCCGACAGGCTGGGGATGCTGTTTTCTGCACCAGGGCACTGCCCCATTCCTGTGGAGCAGAGGAGGAGGAAGCGGGGAATTGGGGGCAGGTCAGAGCTGATTTTTGTCACTGCTTCTCCTTGTAATGCCCTTCCTTGACTTTTTCCTTCTTTTATTCTGTTCCTTGGGCTGTGGCCTGCTGTGACAACACCCTAGCTAAAGTGTCCCCTTCTCAGGCTTGTCTTCCTTTGATGTCTGTCACAGGCACCACTGCTGGCCTCATCACTTGGAAGTTCGTGTAGAGTCCCGGGCATCGCTGCCGCTGCAATCACTGGTGTGTGTGTGTGTGTGTGTGTGTGTGTGTGTGTGTGTGTCTGTGTCTCTCTCTTGCTGGCTTCCTCTGAGTAGGTGCTTCCTGTCCATGTTCATCTTTAAATAACAGACGGCCACCAAAACACTCGTACACTTATGGTCACTCACTAGTACAAGGTGCTATGCTGGTTGCGGGGGCGTGGCCCTTCACCACGGGGGTCTTCCTGGGGAAGAGGGTTGGTGACAGGTGAAACCCTGGGATGGCTGAGGAGGGAGCAGATCTGAAAAGAGAGCTGTGGGCGCTCAAGGGCGGGCTGGGAGCTCACTGATACTGCCTCGGCCTCTCCTTAGCCTGCGTCCTTACTGTTCTGTGCTTTGTGGACATAGTGAGGAGAAGGGACTGACTGAATAAAGGATGTTTTTGTCCTTCATTGTAGCACCCTTCCTAGGTTGGACATCTGTCGAAAAGTAAGAAACTTCAGGTCTTAGTAAATCCCTCGTTCTTCATTCATGATAGTCATGACATTGAACAGTGCTCTGTGGTCTGTAGGTTTTCTTTATGCATTCTGACTTAGCCTTAAAATAGTGAATGGGGTTTAGCCCCTTTTCCATTTTAAGTATGAGAAGACTGAGACTTGGAAGGGCTCGTGAGGTTGGAGCCGGAAAATGGCAGGGAATCGAGTCCTCTGAATGCAAGTCCTGGCTCTTTATTCTAGTCTGTGCCACCTAAAAACCTTTTGGGTGTAATGTGGGATGCACCCTGTTCTTCTAGTGGGGGATTGCTATCTGCCATGGGGGTTTTATTCTGAGAGGGGCCCTGGGCAGGGCAGCAGGTTTGGAGCCACACACCTCGCTAAGAACACCAGCTCTGCCCTAGAGATAGAACCCATGTTGGGCAAATTACTGCGCCACCCCCCCCCTTGCACGCCCTTTAGTCCTCATTGTGTGAAACTAATGGCATCCACATCTTGGGAGGATCCTGAGGAACCAGGTCAGGCTCTTGTCTGTGGCATCACCCCAGGCAGTCTGTTCCGAAGTGCGTGTGGTGAGGCTTTGGTGAAGCTGGGCTGTTCCCCACTGGGTCCTGGGGTCTTGGGTCTGCCCCACACAGCTGCTCTGGACGAGCTGTTCTGTGTTAACTGAAGCGTGTTCTTACTGTGACAAACTGTGGCGTGTTGTTGCAGGACACAGGTTGAACATCACAGCGGAGAATGACTGTCGGCGGCTGCACTGCTCCCTGAGAGACCTGAGCTCCCTGCTGCAGGCCGTGGGCCGCCTGGCCGAGTACTTCATCGGGGATGTGTTTGCTGCAAGGTTCAACGACGCCTTCACGGTGGTGGAGAGGTAGGCCGCCTGCCCCTAGGAGCCGCTCCTCCTGCACAGCTGCTTCACCTGCCGCACACATCCCCTCTGGTGCCAGCTCTGCCACATTCGCCTCTCTGAACTTCGGGTTGCTCATCTGTAAAGTGGAGTGGGGGTCGTTTCTTACAGGCCTGTTGTGGTAAGACACTTAGCACAGTGTCTCGCGTCTAATCCAGCAGTCCGCAGCCTGGCCCGTGTTTCCACTGCTGTCTTAGATGTAGATATGGAGACGGGGTCGAACTCAGAAGGAACCAGAGCAGGTCGGTCCCCATGACTTTTCTCATAGGAGCAAGCCACATTAAGGGGACAGCATCACAATCCTAATAGCCAGATATGAAAGCTATGGGGCTCTTCCTGGTCAGTCTTGTCCCATCAGGGTCCTATGGAGTTAAAGCTGGGTGACTCCGAGGCCTGGCCTGAGAGCTGGTCTCAGCCTTTCACCAATAGGCATCTTTATAACTGCTTCCCCTGAGGTCCCTTGAAGAAATGTTCCCAGCTGCATTTTATTCTACCAGTCCTCTGTTCACACTGGACGCTAAAAAGCCAGCTGTACGTAAGAGGGGATTGGATCATTCCAGACTAGCTAGTGAATTGATTAGATCCACCTGGTGGATGGGGCTCCAGCCTGACGCCCAGGCACCTGCTACTTTCCTTGGTACTGTATCCTTATTGCTGTAAGACACAGGGAAACCAAGCTCAAAGAGCTTGATTACGTGTGCACCAGATTTTTAACTGTTAAATCTTAGCTTAAAAGCAGAGATAACTAAGAATTTTAAATCCCTTAAAAGGCAGATTGATATTAATTTATAAAAGGCTGGTCGTGATAGCTTGTGCCTGTAATCCCAGCAACTGAGGAGGCTGATGCAGGAGGATCATAAGTTTGAGGCCAGCCTCAGCAATTTAGTGAGACCTGCAGCAACTTGATCCTGTCTCAAAAAGAAGGACTGGGGATGTAGCCAAGTAGTAAAATACCCCTAAGTTTAGTCCATCCCTAGTACTAAATAAATAATAAATATTGATAATATAATAATAAAAGCAGCATCCAATAGAAGGACATTTTCAAAATGGTTTTTTTTTTTCATTCTACACTTTGAGAGATCAGGCCATTTTATTGGTGAGTAAATTGTGACTCAAGAGTTGGCAAATATCTTAGTCCACGTGGTTTATAAGAGGGAATTTTAATGAGCTTCCTGAGTTCAGATGACGGCCTTTCCTCTTCCACAATTGTCTGTCTTCTGCATCCTGTACGAGGCCCATTCCCACTGATGTTTAGCAGGGATGAGACAGGTTGTTTGAATTACTCTGTAAGCAATATCAAAATGTCTGTCGGTCAACTATGTAGTGAGATGATTGGCAGAGATCCCAAGCTATTATTTTGTAAGTTCTTGTTTATACATCTTTTTGCACTGCTTAGAGATGCTTACTGTTTTGTCTTTATATAGAACAAAGTATGAGGGAAGGCTCTCCTGTGGCCACATAATCTTACTACTTAGTGTGATTAGCAGTGTTTTCACTTGTAAGTCACATAGAACAAACCTAATGTGAAAACTGTGAAATATAGATGTGTTAAGAGGGACACGTTTAGAAGTCCATTTTTAGTGTGGAACAGGAGAAATAGTAGGTGCACATAGTGCCTTATCACATTGTAGGTGCTTACTGAGAGGTAAGTTTTGATTCTTGGTTATTGCCAACACTTTCTTGGGCTTCAAATGAAGAACGTGGCTCTTCACCCTCACTTTCTGGACTCCCTGGAAGTGCCCTTTTTTAATGCTCTCCAGCCCTGAAGTTTGTGGTTTTCTGTTTGAATAAAGTCCTGCATCTTCTCCCGTCAGACAGGAATATTTTCCAGGGTGTGGGCCTTCATGCATCAGTCCTGGCCGCTTTGTAGAGATGCTGATTTCCAGACCCTCTTCACATCTGCAGAATCTGCCTGAGGGTGGGACTAGGCAGCTGGCATAGTAGCACTTCCCCAGTTGATGGCCCTGTGCCCAGGTTTCCATGCAGAGTAGCCTAGGGCCTCAGCAGCTGTGGGATTCCTCTTTGGGGAGAGAGGCACTTTCCCAATGGAGCCGGCTGTTGGTTACTGTATTTAATGCTCATTTGTATACAGTGAGCTCTTGAGCAATACTGGGCTCTTTTGATCTCTATTTACCCTAAAAACATTTGCTCCCCCCTCTCTCTGTCCTCCAGTGTTTTATTATAAACATTTTCAACCCTTCAGAAAAGTTGAGAGAATTGTATGGGGAATACCTATATCGCTACCACCCTCCTGATTCTGCAGTGGACATTTTGCTGCATTTTCTTTGTTACATGTAATTCCATCTGATACATTTTCTTTTAAAAGTAATTTTACAAGAATGGGAGTTTGCAGTGACTCAGACATGCACAGATATTCACCCTGGCATTACTTATAGCAAAAAATATCGAAAATAGTTTAATGTCATAAAAATACACTGAAGTAGGAACAAAAGGAAAGAGTGATGAACATCTCTGTGTACCCATGTGGACAGAGTTTTCAGATGCTCACAGGAGAAAAACAAGGTACCAATGAGTGTATCACAGCAAAAAAGGCATATATGTTTGTTGAGATATAATTATATTGCCATTAAAGCCACCATTTTAAAATATAAAAACAAAACGGGGAGTGTGGTTCAGCAGGAGAGCACTTGTCTAGTGTGTGCAGTGGCCCTGGGTTCCATCCTCAGCATTATAGTCAAAGTTTTAAGTCAAATTTAAGTTGGTTTTAACATTACAAATTTTATAAAAAGGTCTTTGTCAACCTATTTAGATAAATTTTCAGTAGAACAAGTCTGCTTTTTAAAAAAATTTTTTTATTCTCATTTATAAAAGCATTGTTAATTCATTATAGAAATAAAGAAAAATAGAGGGGGAATAATCATCCATACTCTACCTATTCCGTCCTACCCCTAAGAGCAAGTGATACCAAGAGCACATTCTGATGGCTTTTTTTCCTTAACAGATACACATTTGAAAAGTTAGGACATTTTCTCTGTGTGTGTACATAAGAGCCTTTTCACGTTTTGAATACCTTGAACATTTGTCATTAAATATACCTCTAGCATGGTTTTATTGAATATTGTATTACATACTTTGTGTTGGATATTTATTTTGCTTTTAAGTAATGTAGATAATGCTTGTTATATAAATATTTATGTACATCACAGATTATTTTCTTTGGGGAAAAAAATGAAGGTCTGATGATAATGTATTCCCTCCCTCCCTGCCTCCTTCCCTCTCTCCTTCCTTTCTTTTTCTTTTTCTTTTTGGTATGGGGAAGAAAAGTATGTCCTGGGGCTTCTCCTTGTTGATACTTGTTAATTTTGTCACTTTAGTTCCTAAGCTGAATGTTCTTTCTTAACCTGCCTCTTTGCCAACAGGTTGGTCAAGGTCACTCTGTACGGATCTCAGATAAAACTGTACAACATTGAAACTGCTGTGCCCTCGGTGCTGAAGCCCGACCTCATTGATGTGTAAGTATGGAGTTTGGGGTTTTGCCTTCTCAGGAAGCACCGTTTACCCCCAGATCATTTTATAGAAAATAGGAAGAGTGGGAGCTGCTACAAGAAGGGGGCAGTGACTTTGAACTTTGGAGGAAGGATTGTTGGGTTTTGGGGGACAGGAGGGGTGGGCAGGAGTGGCTGGGGCAGGGGGACTCCCCATCAGGGAGCTGAGAGCTGTGGTGAAGGGGCTGTGAGTACTGTGTGGCAGGAGAGGCTGGGAGGGTCCGCAGGACTGACACGGGAGCTCCTTAAATGCCATGAATATCAGCCTGCCCAGAGCCTATTCACCGAAACCGAGATGTGTGGAAAAAAACAGCAGTTTTAATTCCCAAGATGCTTCTGAGGCCAGATGAGGGGTGGGGTGGATGTATCTCCCCATTCACAAGCAGCAGAAACCAGCTGGCTGTCCTCATAATTTAATTTAGTCTGACACCACCTGGAAATAGTGTCAGATCCTACAGGTCATACTCAGTTCCCAGTTCTGTCCCCTCCGTGTCCTTCTTTCCAATGCTAGAGACAAGCTCCAGGTTGTTTCCCTGTGCTTCTGCCCAGTTGGCAACAGGTTGAGGTTGCCCCAACCTCTTCTGGTTTGCAGAATTTGCCTAGAGTTGGTCAGAACTCAGGGAAACCCTTAGGCTGCTGGTTTACTTGTTTGTACAGGGTATTACAAAATAGACCCAGGAACCCCGGATGAGAGGGGGGTGGGGTGGATGGGGAAGAGCACAGCTGCCCTGCAGGAGCCTCCAGCCCTCAGGCGTTTGGTTCTCTAGAAGCTGGCAGAGCCTCTACCCAGTGCTTTTGGGTTTTTATGGGAACCTCATTAGGGGGTGTAAGTGTGTGACTGAATCATCAGAGTGACCTCCATTCCCTTCTTCCCTCCCAAAGCTTAGGGGTGAGACTCAGAGCTTCAACCCTCTGAGCAAAAGGTTCCCCTGACAGCTAGGTTCCATCCTGTGCCCATCTAGGGATTTTCCAGAAATCCCCTTATTTTAACATTTGCTCAGGGGTGTTGAGAGGGCTTGTTACCAATAACAGGAGATTGTATTTCACTACTTGGAAGGGACTGGAGGAACCCAGGACAAAAGGCCAAATATTTTGTTGTTTGTTTTGGTGCCAGGGATTGAATTCAGGGGCACTCAACCACTGAGCCCTATCCCCAGCCCTATTTTGTATTTTATTTAGAGACAGGGTCTCACTGAGTTGCTTAGTGCCTCACTATTGCTGAGGCTGGCTTTGAACTTGCTCCTCCTGCCTCAGCCTCCTGAGCTGTTTGAATTACACTTGTGCACCACTGTGCCTGGCTGAAAGGCCAAATATTTTTAAACAAAGATGCTCTTTTAACCAAAACACATGTATCGTAATATCCTAGAAAGGTACAGGAGAATACTAGGGGAACACACTTCTTCAGAGATTCTGATTTGGGTAGGATGGTGTAGGCATTTATTTGATATTTGCATATTAAACAAGAACTTCAGATTGTTTTGAAACAAGACATCCAGGGACTGTCATAAGAGGAGGAGGGCCCAAGGAAGTCCTGGAGAAGGGAACCTCAACTCAGAATGACAGATTCCTTGACCCACATGAAGGAAAGAATCTGAGCACACATAGATACCAAGCCACACAGATTTATTTAGGAAATCAAGGTTTATACTTTGAAGGAAGAGAGCACAGGCTCTTCAGAGTGTGAAGCCACCTCTGGGTCTGGGGTGTTAACACTTACAGTGCCACGGTGGCTAGGGCTGGACTGAGGTCAGGTTCTGTTGATTTCCCTGGCTTTAGCTGTTGTCCTTGCTTCCTGGTGCTACTTTCTGCAGACAAGGAGGGCTGAGGACATTGGCTGGCTCTTTAGATTCAGTTCATCTTTATTTCTCTGTACCCTCAAATTCTTAGGACCACACTTTGAGGACTGTACACATGGGAAGCCATTAAGAGAGTGACATGGTCAGGATAGAGGGCCGGGGCTGAGGTGGGTCCTATCCCAGAGTCTGTCCTGATCAAGTGGCTCACACTAGAGTAGAGTACCACAGCTGCCCCCCGGCTTGTTTCTGTAAATAGTTTCCGAGGACAGAATGACAACAAGTTAAATATCTTAATTGCCTTTTTTGGATTCTGGAATCAGGCCATACTTAATTCCATAAAATAGAATAAGCGTTCCAGGGAGTTAAGCAAGAGACCCTCCTCCTTGTGTGACTGTTCCTGGATGTCTTGTTTCAAAATAATCTGAAGTTTAATATGCAGATATCAAACAAATGCCTACACCATCCTACCAAATCAGAATCCCTGAGGGAATGTGTTCCCCAAGTATTCTCCTGTACCTTTCTAGGATAGTGCTTTGGGTTTATCCATTAGAACAACAAGAGCATCTTTGTTTAAGGGAGAACAAAGAGAGAACATTGGTTTAGTAGATATAGAAAGGATTAAAGAAAACAGAAACAAAAAACAAAAAGGGGATTGGTCATTTCAAAGTTACCTTCCCTGTAAAGCTGGGACAAGAACACAGAACAATAGAAATATAACTGGTTCACTTCAGATTGCCTTTTTGTGTAAAGATTAAGTCAGAGGGACTTCATTTTCATGCCATTTGAAACTGACTTGTTTGGGGAATTTGGCTGTTCTGTCTAATCCTGAATTCTAGGACTGGCAGAGTAAATAGCTTAGTTTCAGCCTGGTGGTGTGGAACTTGAGCTTGAGTGACTGCATTATGGTTTTTAGCCTGGGACTAGTGCAGGAGCTTAGCCCAAAACAATGGCCTCCTGGAATTTTTTTTTTTTAATTTAACAGGGAGTTTTATTGGAACAGGCCCTTGCCCTGTCATTTGCATATCACCTGTGGCTGTTTCACACGCAGCAGAGTTGTCGCTACAGTCTGGCCTGCAAAGCCTAAGACACGTGCACTGTATTTACAGAGAGAGAGAGAAGGCTGCTATTCCTGTTGTAGAGCATTCTTGAGCTGCACATTAAACAAGTGAATTTTAAGAAGAATCTATATACTGTGGTCTTAAACTTTTTCCCTTAGTTATTACTTTCCACTTTGAGAATTAGAGGAAGCTGTGATGCATCCTCTGGGTGAGACAATAATTTGCTCATGAACTCCCCAGCTTACAGTTTCAGGAAGTTTGAGAGCACCCCCACCACCTCACCTTTTTCAGCCATAAGACGCTCCAAATGTGGTAGACTGACTGAGATTCTTGGGTTTCAAAAACTGATTTTGATGTCCTTCCTATTTAGTTTTGATGCTTAGAATTCAGGTAAAATGATCAATGGATTCTGAATATAAAATACAAAATAACTGCCTGGTCTCTCTGAATTTCAAACTCTTGATTGGCATGTATATGTATGTATATATATATATATATATATATACCTTTTCTTCCTATTTTGATAAAGTTCAAACCTATAGAATATGGTAAAAACAGAATAGATGCCCTCATTTTTTTTTTTTTCTGAGCCATTTGAAAATAAATTGTAGATAACATGTCACTTCACCCACAAATCCTTTAGCGTGGGTTTCCTAGGAATAAGGTCATTCTTCTACATAATCATAATATCATTGTCAGCACTTAATAAATTAATAAATTTAACGAATACAGTAATATAACTTGATAGTCCAGATTCACATTTTTCCATTTGTCCTTTATGTATATATAATTTTTTGGATTGAAGATCTAACTAATTGTGAACTACACATTAAATTTGCCCCAGATAATCTAGAATAGCTCCCCCAATCATATGTTTACCTTTGTCCTGTGTCTACTGAGAGGTTCCAGAAACTGTGACATCCCTCAGCAGTGCACCTCTCATGCCTACCCCCATCTCCATTTTTAAAGTAGTGTCTCCAGCATAAGAGCCAGAACTCCTTGGAGAAAGGGTCCAAGTCTGGGGCAGGGCGATTCTGGAGAATCCTGTTCATCAGTGAGTGGGGAAGCACAGGGCAAGTGTTGAGAACGTATGAGAAGGACGTGTGGGGCTGACGTGAGACCAGGCCATTGGATCATCCAGAAGAAATAAGGGTGATAGTAAATTATTCCATGTTGATTGATCTTTTAAAATTAGGTCATCTCAAAAGTATCACCTTACACAGAGTACTCTATAGTTCTTAACAGGAAGAGGAGAGGTTACACTTAGGTTTATTGCATGGTCTGGTGTTATCTTGGAAGAATTATGAGCTTTTGTGATGTATGTTTTATCATATGTCAGATGCAGTTCATCCTTTCGAAACCAGAGTCTTTGCTGCCTCAGTTATTCTCTAGCCAGATGTGTGGTGTGATGGAAACTTAAGCTTTGGGATCTTAGGTCAAAGCTTTATTTATAAAACTGCAATACCTAGTATTTTCCTGAATCTTAGGCTACAGCTATGGATGTTCGTTATCACTAATAGGTCCTCTGTGAGCAGGTAAATGGTTTCCATGTTGTTGCCATGTCCAGGGACAGCCAGCACAGTGGGTAGTTTTTGTTTTTTGGGTACTGATGTTTTTGAGCCCAGGGGCACTTCACCATGGAGCTACATCCCCAGTCCTTTTTATTTGGGACAGAGTCTAAAGTTTCTGAGGCTGTCTGTGAACCTGTGATCCTCCTGCCTTGACCTCCTAGGTAGCTGGGATTTCGGTGGGCACCATTATGCCCAGCTATCAGGTTGAATTCTTATCTCCTGTGGGAACAAGTTTTATGAGTGTTCACCTGACCCTCTGGATCGCGTCTTCTTTCCTTTTCGCAGGCATGCTCAGTCCCTGGCTGCTCTCCAGGCCTACTCCCACTGGTTAGCACAGTACTGCAGTGAAGCCCATCGGCAGAACACGCAGCAGTTTGTGACACTTGTCTCTACCACCATGGATGCCATCACACCCTTGATCAACACCAAGGTTTGAAATAGTGAAGACCATGCCTTTTATCCAATTCTCTGTCCTTCTGTCTATGATTTGTTTACTACAAAATCAAAATATTAAACAAAGTTCAATGGATAATTCTGATTTAATGGCTAGCTCGTGTCCTTCATAGTAGTAGTCCACGTGCACCCAGGTAATGCAGGTAAATTTTAATTCTTTTAGTCCCACATGTCGCATTCTCATTGTGAAAAAGTAAAGTATTGTTCATGTTTCACAGAGTAAGAAATTTTGCCTTCTTTAGTCCCTTCCTTAAAACACTTCCCGGGGGCAGCACAGTCAGCTGCAGGTTGTATATTATTCTAGACTTTTTTCTATTTTACATTCATAAGTAAAAGTTTGTAGGTAATTGGAGATGGCCCCTGCTTTTTTAAAAAAATAGGCATAGAACAACTGCAGTTTTTCACATTGGCCAGTGCTTTCTTTTGTGGGATTTATTATGATTTTCTGTTGATGAAAGGACTCTCTTTATGGTCCATTTTTCTGTATACATTAGTGGGTGTGGTTTCCCATAAGTGGGATTACTGAGTTAGACGTTATGTCTGGAGGAAGTTTGTCCTCCAAGAAGACTTCCAGTTTGTTACTAGACTATACAGATGCTTACATTTCTTAATTTTTTAATATAATTTTAATCATGCATAGCATTTTGTACCACTTTTAACAATGTATTGTTTTAATAATGATAATTAGATAATTCTGAGATGCATGCATTCATGAATGTAGCTTTATCCTTTTAGATCATTTCCTTAGATAAGTAGAGATCATAGTGTTAAAAGTTGGAATATTTTGTGGTTCTGGGAAATTATAGTGATATTTCTTTCCTAAATAATTCTGCATGCCTTGACTCTGGTGTGCTGTGGCCATCACAGTCTTACCAGCATTAGGTCCTATCTATAAAAAGTTTTCTTGGGGCTGGGCGTATAGGTCAGTGGCAGGACATGTTCATAACATGCATAAGGCCCCAGGTTCAATCCCTAACTCCCCCACTCCCAGGTTTTCTCTTTTGCTAATTTGAAAGTGACAGTGATACCTACACCCAGTTTTTGATAGGCATGTGGAGGTCAAAGCAGCGGGTGAGATGAGTTGATTGAGGAAGCACAGACAGGAAGGGCTGAGGGAAGTCTTGGCTTGGTGGGAGCCAGAGGAGTGAGCTGAGGAATCCCACATTGTTTGAAGTGGGAAGACTTAGATGCCATACCAGGGAGTGTGCCTTGTGATGTGACAGCTCTCAGGGATCCACTGTAGATTCTTGAGCTAAGAATTTAAGAATTGATTGAGTTCAGAGATACCAGTTACAGTGAAGAAGAGTCTGGAAGAATTAAAAATGGCTCGAGGGCAGGAGCTATGGAGGTGGCAAAGAAGAAGGAACCTTGTTGCTGATAGTTATCTTGGGAAGAATTCTGGAGATAGAGCCTTGTTGGTATGATTTGGCAGCCAAGAACTGAGTTCAGTTTGTGGCTGCCTCTAATACCAGTCACCTAGGACATGTGGTGCACTCACATGTTCTCTCCTTTTCCAGGTCCAAGACAAGCTGCTGCTTTCTGCGTGCCACTTACTGGTCTCACTAGCCACCACTGTGCGGCCTGTCTTTCTGATCAGCATTCCTGCAGTGCAGAAGGTGTTCAACAGGATCACGGATGCCTCTGCCCAGCGACTTGTTGATAAGGTGAGACCCAGGACACCCTGGGATCCCCACGACATGTGGCTCAGATCCAGGGAAGCAGAGGAAGAAGAGGCAGACTTTGTGTGTGCTCTTGGCTTACAGGCCATGCCAACACTGGCACACTTCAGGGGTTCATCTCCTTCCCTTTCTGAGGCCAACTGAGTGCCAGTGCAGGTGTGGAAATGTCTTCCTGACATGCAGAGAGGTCTTGCTGCTCTGAAGTCTCATGATTTGGCCAACGTCGTGAGAATCCTCTTTGTGTACTTTTTAGTTCAAACCATTCTGGTTTGCATTGTTTGTGGGTTGAGAAGCTCCAGGCAAGTGATTCTCTAGAAAAAAGAAGTGGAATGGGGTAGGGTAGGGGGTGGGGCAGGTTCTTTAGAGTGTGTGCACGTGCGCTCCTGCTGACGAGTCCCCTCGCAGCCCTGTTCTAAGTGGCTTCTCCAAGACTGTCAGAAGGAGCTGCCAAGGTCCTGGCTAGATGCTGTGTCCTCAGTGGGACTTTTCCCTCTGTAATGCCCAGGTGCCGGGTTGGAGGGGAAGTGTGAGCACCAGTAAGGATTCTTGAGGGCAGCCCTGGGGGCTGCTGGACTGACACGGGGTGTGTGGGGGGGTAATTTCTGCCTTTCTTTTCCCTGCCTGGGTTACCTTGGAGGTGGACTGCAGACTGCACTTAAGTTATGAAAAAAGGAGCCTGGTAACTAAGCTCTAAGGTAGGCTTCTAAAAGCTCGGTCAGGCATGGCCGTCTACTCTGGTCTCTGACCTCACGGTGCCTTTGGGTCTCTTGCAGGCTCAGGTGCTGGTGTGCCGAGCACTCTCCAATATCTTACTGCTCCCATGGCCCAACCTTCCTGAGAGCGAGCAGCAGTGGCCCGTGCGCTCCGTCAACCACGCCAGTCTCATCTCTGCACTGTCTCGGGACTATCGCAACCTGAAACCCAATGCCGTCGCCCCCCAGAGAAAGATGCCACTGGATGACAGTAAGTGACCCCTGGACTGGGAGAGCATAAGGAAGACAGCAAGGCAGGCATCGCTTTCCCTTGTGGCAGATGAGCATATCCACAGTCACTGCTGAGTCAGCTGTGGGGGTGGGTCCAGCTCATCCATAGAGCCCAGGTAACATAGCAGCTGGACATATTTCCTGAGTGCAGGCTGCCCCTTCTCTTAATTAAAATGTGAAAAACATTGGAGACCCTAGGAAGACATCCACGGAAGACCCTTGACGATACTGTCAATAAATACCACCAAGATTATTGATCCATTTCAGAGACTGTAAGCAAAGAAAGCCGTTCCCCTCTACTGGGAAAATGAACTTAAGAACTGCCTTGTGAGATTAGTTTGAATCTTTCCCAAATACAACTACTTCAGAGGTTTTGGAAGAGGTTTTTTCACAAGTGGTACTTGAAGTTTGGTTGTTTAAAAAAAAAAAAAAAATGAATTAGGAGAGCTGTAGTTTAAATAAAAGGTGACAGGTTTCCCTGAAAAATCTTCCTGAAATAACAAATATTATAGAAATAATTCTAAATTGCAGTCTGTTTTTACAAGAAGAAAATAATAAGGGTCTCATTTATGAAATGTCAACAGTGGTTTATGAAATGTCATCTAGTATTAATACTTGGCATTCTATTTAAAAATAGTGTTTTATAAACAAGTCAATATATGTTTGCTCAAAGATAGTAGGATAGTATAAAGAAGGAAATTCTTTAAATCTTACCAGTTCTAATATTTTAGAAAGAAGCCATTTAACCATGCTGTGTTTATCTTCCTTTTTCTACTTTTAAGTATATTTGTAGTGACATGGTTGGGTGAGAGCAGCTGATCATCGAGGGCATACCGTGTACGAAGCTCTCGCCTCCATGATTTTATGCCCATCATCAAATTTCTGATATTTTCAGCATCAGTCTTCTAAGACTTGATATTTCTGATTTAGGGGTCTAAGTATTTTTTTAAACATTCATTTCATGTTCATATTAGCTGTGAGTTGGGTGCTATTATCCTGATTTCATCCATGAGGAAACCAAGGTCCAGGAAGGTTAAATAGCTTGCCTTGGAGGGCACATGGCACTGTGGAGGAATCATGTTTTATGAGGTTTAACCGTCTTGTCTTCTTTTCTCTCTCTTTTTTATGTGGTCGTCCTGTCATAGCACAGGCTAGATTGTGCTATGTAGTAACAAACAATCCCAGCGACTTAGTGGCTTCTTGTGAGGGGAAAATAGTTCTGCTCACATCTGGCCTGGGTCACAAAGCCCAGGAGGCCACTCAAGCTCCAGGCTCATGAGCCTCCCCTTCAGTCTGTGCTCACACTGGGAAGGGCACGTGGTGAGGGGTGGAGCATTCCCAGAGATCCTGCCTGAGAGCGACACATGTCACTTCCATTCACACCACATCAGTCTGAGCCAGCTGTGTGCAGTCCTGCCACACCCTCAAAGCCGGTGCTAGGGACAGAGGAACATCTCTTTCCCCCTGGGAACATGGTTGGAAACACTGTGCATGGTTCTGAGTGTGCCAGCGCCGAGCGGGAAACTCGGTGCACAGAGTTTCTCGTTCAGTCTTGTGTGACCCTGTGAGGTGGCTCTTACATCCTGATTCCAGAGCAATGAAATGAAGATTTGAAGGTTTTCTTTCAACTTTATATTTTGAAAAAATTTCAAACCTACAGAGTAGTTGAAAGAATAAGAAAATGAACAAATATGTCTTTTCACCCAGATCCACCAGCTACTAATGTTTTGCCACATAGGTGCTTGAATGCCTGATCTTTATATGGAAACTATATGGAACCTAATTAGAACCTTTATGTAACCCAGTTTTCCATAACCCACACTTCATCAGCACAGCCAGGATGGTAACCATTGTCACAGTGTCACATAGCATTGAGACCACATTGAAAACTCCCACAGTTGATATCAAAATGTCTTTGTTGCTTTGTAAAAGTCTAGGATTGTGCATTATATTTGATTGTCTTGTCTCCTTCATCTCCTTCAATATAGAAAAGCGTCCCCCTTTTTTGACTTCCGTGACATTGGCATTTTGAAGAGTCCATACTTGTTCTCTTGTAGAATGTTCTGAATCTTTTTATCTGATTGTTCCCAGTGAGTTTGATACTGTGATGTGCACTTCCTGTTGCATCACTTTTGTCAGTTTTCCGGTGGCTGCCAGTCTGTCCTTGGAAAGGTACCTCCTTCCAAGGCCTGGCAGGTGTAAGTTGCTTAGAACCCCAGGGAATGTGGTGGGTCAGGGGTCCCACCTGGCTGAGCAGCTCAGAGGCTGGACTCCGCCATGTGGCTCTGTGGCCTCCTTGGGAACCTGGTTCAGAAGGGTTTATAATATCCTGTCCCCGTAGAAGTACCATTCTAATTATTATGTACTTACTATGCTTTCAATTTCTGATTTTTACAATTTTGCCAAATAAACTTTGGTCTTCGTTTTAATTTTCTTAAGTCAGAGGTCAGATTTTCGTCTCTTGATTGTCGGTTTTTCTCCCTAAACTGCTTCCCCAGGGCCATGTTCCTCTTGGGGAAACACCTGCCGTGTGTGTGGGGCCCTGGCTGGGTGGGTGTCCCATGCTTGCCGCCATTGTGGGGGCTCATTTCAGCCTGGTCATGCCTTGCCTTTACTTTCCAGTCACCACCCCGGGTCTTAGTGGACAGGGCCTGTTATGAGCCCGTCTTCCTCCACCCTCAGTCGTGCAGGTCAGGTGATATGAGCTACCTGTGATTTCAAATGAGGAAAATAAGACAACTTCTCGCACAGTTCAGGGTCAGACCCAGTTCTGTGCATTCCCTGATCACGTCTTCTTTCTGCCATACCCTGCCCTGGAAGTGACTTCAGCTTGGACTGGGGAGCTGTGGGTCAGGAAGGCTCTCAGCCTAGTTCTGGTTCAGCCTGGAGGTTGAGTCTTCCAGGCCTGTGCTGAGCCCTGGGGGTCTCCACGCATGCTGAGTGAGGACCTTCCTGTCCTGGACCTTCTTAGGTTCCAGGTACCTTGCTAGAATTATTCAGAACCAGGGTCCCGTCCTCGTAGCACTGCAAACGGTGGGGGGGTCTGTGGGCTCTCCCTCGTGTGCTGAGGAGGATCCTGCCCAAGGCTCAGAGCTATTTTCTGACCTCTGGGTTTTCTCTCCAGGGCTCTCTGACCGCCTGCCTGTTGGCTGTCTACCATCTTCATTTTTCCTTGTGCTTTGTGAAACATTGATGTTAACTTGTACAACAGGGTACTGTAGGGTTGTATATTGCTGATTACATATAATAATAATTATATATTATCAGCCTACAGGCCTACTAGGCCAAGGCTTGATTGGGCATTCTATTTCTGAATCCAGCATCACTGCACTGCACGGCAGGGTATGAGTGTGGGTTGGCAGACCAGGGAGCAACTGTAGTTGAAGGAGAAGGTTTGATCTGCATGTGTCCTTTGTGGTGTGTGGGTAATTACCTTCTGACACTTATTTTCTCACCATTCTTCTCAGCGCCTTATAGTTTTGATTAAGTCCATGTCACCTAACTTGGAAGTACAAGTCATTTTTTCTTCTCTGTGAACTTGTTGCTGGTAGGTAGAGGCACAGCCTGTACAAGCAGATGCCTGGAGTCTTGGCAGTAAAGAGGTGGGGTACGGTGAGAGAGGAGAAGATGTAAAGGAATCGAGGGAAACTGTTCAGCAAAACTTGAGTGTGGCCGTCTTCCTGACCCCGTGGCAGGTGTCTTTCCCTCCCTCTGTGTTCCCTCGTCTGTGCTTTATTCTCAGATAACTTATAGCCTGCACCTTACTCTTGATTTGCAGCCAAAGTGATTATCCACCAGACACTGAGTGTCTTAGAAGATATTGTGGAGAACATCTCCGGGGAGTCCACCAAGTCCCGGCAGATCTGCTACCAGTCGCTGCAGGAGTCTGTTCAGGTCTCCCTGGCCCTCTTCCCAGCTTTTATCCACCAGTCAGGTAGGAGCGGGCCCAGTGGCCTTCCGTGCGCATCTAACCAGGTCTGCTTAGATCTCCTGAGTGTGCCAGGATGGCGCAGTGCTGGCCTTGGCACGCTCTGGAGGAACACTGGGATGTGGAAGGCAGAGGGCAGTGCTGTTTCTTTGGAGAGTGTGGCCCGTGGCACTTGTCACGTGGCAGCAAGTCACTTGCAGCCCCCTTCCTAGTCCTTGTGTTCCCTCAGCAGGGAAGACAGATGGGTGAGAGGGTAAGGGGCTTTACACGGGAAGCAAGAGAGCTTTCATTTATGCAGCCTGCGTATGTGGCAAGGTGAGCTTGACTGAGATTGTTCCCTTGCCACATTGTCACTGACAGGCTTTTCAGCTCTCTGGGTGTACTTGTCTGGCTCTCCTGAGAGCATTTAGAGTGGACTTGCCAGTCTTGTGAGAGAAGTGTGGGTTCTTCTCAGTCAGCATGTGTTCACTTGCTTCTTGCAAGCTGAGCATGTGCAGTAAGAGCCAGACGGCTGCTGAGGTCTGGAGGAGGAACCACACCAACTGTGACCAGTGTTTTCTGCAGTTAATTCATTTGATGGAACAGGGCCATGCAGCCTGGTACACCCTCATTATCCACTTCAGCCACTCAACCCCTGACCCAGCTGCAGAGATTCTTGGTCAGAGAGACCAGTGGCTGTGGCTGTGAACAGTTTCATCAGTGTGAGCCCCAAATGATGCATCTGCAAAGAAAATTTTGACCGTGGCTGGATGCTAGGCCCTGAGTGAGGCTTTCAGTTGACCTCCATTTCCTGTTGTGAACCATCAGGCAGAGGTTCCCTGGAGCAGAGTTGTTTTCTCAGCAGGTCCTTAACCATTTTCCACTTTCCATCATTGGCTCTGATGGTACTAGGGAAATTTTTTCCAGCAGGAAGCATTAGAGAGAGATGACAGTGCAGTTTGCAAAAGAAATCAAGTGAGGGCTGTTTGCCCCGTGTGTGGAGCTTTGACCACATGTTCTGTCCTTTTATTTAGATGTGACTGATGAGATGCTGAGCTTCTTCCTCACTCTGTTTCGAGGCCTTAGAGTACAGATGGGCGTGCCTTTCACTGAACAGATCATACAGACTTTCCTCAACATGTTTACCAGGTAACCACGCACACCGCCGCCCAGGCTTTCAGGCTTTTCAGGTTCAAGTGAGAAGTAGGGGGACCGGGCTACAAAGTATGGATCTCTGTTCCCTTTCTTCATTGGCCACAAACATTGGTTTTCATGTGCTCTGTGGATAGAGTTCTTTAGTTGTCGTGTGGCTGTGTCTTGTCTGCAGAGAACAGCTGGCGGAGAGCATCCTCCACGAAGGCAGCACTGGCTGCCGGGTGGTGGAGAAGTTCCTGAAGATCCTACAGGTGGTGGTGCAGGAGCCGGGCCAGGTGTTCAAGCCCTTCCTCCCCAGCATCATCGCCCTGTGCATGGAGCAGGTGTACCCCATCATTGCAGAGGTACGAAGGGCCTTGGGAATGAAGTTTCAATAAACACCTTGTATTCTAAAGTGCATTTGTTAGTTGTTTTAATACTCTTTTTAAAAAATTATTTATTTATTTATGTGTTTTACCTCTATTTCGTTTATTTATTTTTATGTGGTGCTGAGGATCAAACCCAGGGCCCCGCACATGTAAGGCCAGTGCTCTACCGCTGAGCCACAACCCCATCCCTTCTTTTTTTTTTTTTAATATTTATTTTTTAGCTGGACACAATATCTATTATTTATTTGTTTGTTTATTTTTACATGGTGCTGAGTATCGAACCCAGGGCCTCGCACATGCTAGTCGAGTGCTGTACTAGTGAGCCACAACCCCAGCCCTGTTTTAATATTCTTGTAAAATTGTTTTTGTTTTTCCCCAAGAAAGGATGCCTTCAGCTGACACGATCTTATTAAATTGGTCAAGTTAGTTAGAAAGTCTAGGATAAGCCTAGCAGGCCAGTCATCACAAGATTGGTTGGTAAGGAGGGTCAGTTTGTAAAGTCGGGGGCTGTGTGGTTTTCTACAACCAACACGACAGATTTACCTTTCCATTTAAAAGCATTCTTGGTCTCAAGGATGCAAGGCAACTCTTGGGACCAAACAAAACTGTCACTGTTAGAAGAAAGCATTTGGTCCTTGGAAAACAAGCCCTTAGCATGACAAGGTCCAGGGTCAGTATAGCTGTAACTCAAGCTTTCTGGAAATAGTTATATAACTAAGAACTAACCTTTTTAACTGTCTGAACTAAGACCAAAGTGAGTGCCTCGCACCACGAGATACATGTGAGCCCTGTATGGTTTTCTACCATGGAAGCTTGTGACCCGAGGTGTCAGTTTAATTTTAATTAAGGCTGGGCCTTATAGTTATGAGTTTTGCAGACATCTGGAGTCATGTGACTTGCATGTTCTCTAGTAATTTTGGAGATTTTTTTTAGTTAAGTTAAAAAATCCTGCTGAGCCCGCCCCCTGCTCCTCTCAGAATCCAGGCTGCCAGCAAAAGAAGAGGCGAGTCCAGAGAGCAATCAGCTCAGTCTGCGGCCTCCACCAAGGGGTCCTCTGTAGTGCTGCTTTCTGTGATTCCTGAGTGCTCTTTAAACTCTTTCTATGGAGAGCAGCCCTGCTTTTAAGGATCTTACTGTCTTTAGCCTCAGAGGTTGTGGAAGACCAGCAGGTTAGCTGGGATAGTGTTTTTATCCTGGGAAAGGGAACAGCACAACCGGGAAGAGAAGACACATCAAATTGGCTGTTTTCTCAACAGAAAATCCATATTCCTAATTGTTCCTCTGCTCTGTAGCCTCTTCTCCTGGTGTACAAAGCTGAGTTCTTCTACCAGAGAAAGGGCCGTGGGCACTGACCTGTGCATCCTGAATCAAGTGCCCTCCAGTGCTCAAGCATTCTGGTGTGAACTGCCACCTCCAGGGGCTTGAAGCTTTCTGCCCAGGAAGTGACATGGTGTAGGGGGCTTGTTGACACTGCATGCTTCACCTGGTGTCTCTTAGGCTTCTGTGTTGCCTGGCACCAGCTGAGAGTGACTCCCTGAGCTGCATGAAGAAAGGGCTGAGCTTGTGTGTGTGTGTGTCTCCACAGCGCCCTTCCCCCGATGTGAAGGCTGAGCTGTTCGAACTCCTTTTCCGGACGCTCCATCACAACTGGCGGTACTTCTTCAAGTCCACTGTCCTGGCCAGCGTGCAGAGGGGAATTGCTGAGGAGCAGATGGAGAATGAGCCCCAGTTCAGTGCCATCATGCAGGTAAGGGGGACGAGCCAGTGAGCATGTACCCTGGAGCAGATGATTGTCCTGGGGGCCACCTGGGCCCACTGAACTGCTGCCCTTGGGTAGCCTTTCAGGCGCGTAGTCCCACTTCCCCAGCCTGACCACATTGGCATACTGACTTTGAACCCCTGTAGGTTGGGTCTGAAGCTCAGTCCCGCCTGCCTGTCTGTATTGTTAACTAGGATCTTGGGGTCTTAGTTTCTTCACCTGTGAGTGGGGCTCTTACTGCCTGTGTGATGGGTTGGCTTTGAGGTAAGTGAGACAACATGCATGACCAGCCTGGACGTGTGACCTCAGCTTGCTTTACTGTAGAGCAGTATTGCCCCAAGTGTGCAAGAAGCAGGGACGAAGAAAATGGGAGTCTTTCTGGGAGGGGCCCAGCAGTCTGTGTTTTTCAAAGATAGTTCTGGCACATACCACATTGGGGGAAATGCACCCCTGTGGATCAGTCCTCACCTTCAGGTCAGTGCAGCTGTTATAGCAGCAGGCTTGATAACATTTTTGTTCTAAGCCCTCATCTAAGTGGAGGTTTTTTTAAGTACAGGCTTTTTGTCGCAGGAAGCTGGGCAGGGGGTTTCCTCCTTCCCTCCCTCCCTCCCGCCCACCTCCCAACCCACAGAAAAACCTCAGCCTGCTGGGGCTTCCATCTACCATGCTGTGCTGAGGCTGGGGTTTGGGGTGCTCAGGACTTTGCTCCCCTCTCGCCTCTCTCAAGCTTAAATTCTGTCCTTGCTCATAAGACTTCTTGGGAAGATTGAGGCCTGGTCCCACACTCAGAGCTGGTAAAAACCATTCTGGAAAACAGTCTCACACTTTGGCAATTTCTTACATGTTAAACATAGGTAGCGTGTGACCCAGCAATGCCATTTCTAAGGGTTTTGCCAAAGATAAGTGAAACCTGTGCATATTTATTTGAAGTGACTTTTTTCGTAATTGTCAAAACCCAGAAGCAATCCAAATGTCCATCTGCCGGTGAGGGGGTGAACCCACAGGGACAGGTGTAAAGTATGTTACTGCTCAGAAATACAAAGGAACATATTATTGGTGCAAACGGCAAGCGTGGATTTCAGGTACATTGTGCTAGGTGGGAGAGGCCTGACCCCAAAGGCTGTGCACTATGTGGTTCCAGCCATTATGGGACATTCTGGGAAAGGTGAAGCAGAGAAACAGAGTGTCACTCGTGGCCCAGGGGCAGCGGGAGATGATGCTACACGGGGCATGAGGGAGCATTCTGGGTCAGTGGGAATCCTGTGTGTCTTGACTGTGCCGGTGACTGACTCCTGTAACGGCAGCCTCAGGAGGTGCCTCTGTGTCACCCTCAGTAACCCTGACGTTAAATAATAAGTCAGTGGAAACTTGTCATTATGGAGGTCCCAGGGCTGCAGCAGGGGTGACAGGAGCCCCCTCTCAGCAGCCCAGGGTGGAATGATGAAGGGGTGACACTTACTCAGAGAGATTTTCTGTGGGCCACCAGCCTCCCTTCCTACCAGGGTCACTTTCTATTAGATCAGAGCACTTGGTGTTTTGGGGGGGGGGCATGCTTCATTTTGTTCCTGAACTAGTACTTTTTATATCCAGAGCTTCCAGGGCAGTTCAGAACTGGTGGTCACTTAACCCTGAGGCAGATGCAGCTGATCAAGAGGAGCTCTCAGGATTCGTGGCCTGTGAGGCCTGGAATGCCGAGGAAGGGGGAGGTGGTCACTTACTGGAGACACACAGTTGCTGAGGGGTTTGGCCATAGCTGTGGGCTTCCTGCTTTAAAGTCAGGTCCCGTGAAGGGATTCTAGAGATTTCTTATAAAAGGTGAAAGATGAGGCTGAAGTAGATGTCAAGGCCAGTGGGGAAGACTTCAGCCTGGAGACTCCAGGGAGCACCGTGGAGACCTAGCCAAGCCTGAGAAGTCCAGCTGGGCCTCGTCCTGGCATCGGTGTGGGGAGACGCACCTGGGAACAGGTTTTTTGGCATGGGGTGGCTGTCACAGAGGGTGGCTCTGGGAGGCCTTACCTGATGGTCTCACTTCCAGGCTTTTGGACAATCCTTTCTCCAGCCCGACATCCACCTTTTCAAACAGAATCTCTTCTACTTGGAGACGCTCAACACCAAGCAGAAGCTGTACCACAAGGTGAGTGCCCCTCTCTCCCAAAAGAGCCCTTCATCCAGGTGTCCTTGAGCTTCCTCACTGGGGAGCATCATGGGGGATAGGTGGGACCGGTCCCACCTATCACCATTGCCTCTGCCCGTAGAAGATCTTCCGGACCACCATGCTGTTCCAGTTCGTGAACGTGCTGCTCCAGGTCCTGGTTCACAAGTCCCATGACCTTCTGCAAGAGGAGATTGGCATTGCCATTTACAACATGGCCTCTGTCGATTTCGATGGCTTCTTTGCAGCCTTCCTTCCAGAGTTCCTGACCAGCTGTGACGGTGTGGATACCAACCAGAAAAATGTGCTGGGACGGAATTTCAAGATGGATCGGGTGAGGAAAGAAAGGTCCAGGCCAAAAGGAGGGCAAGTGTGGGCCTCAGGTGTGGCACCTGCCCAGCGAGGGGCAGACTGCCTCAGGCACATTAGGTCCTCTGGGCAGGGCTCTGCCCGCTGGCAACTTGGTAGCAGCTTGAGCAGTGCTTGGGTGACATACTTCTCTGGCCTTGTCTTCTGTCGCAGTGTTCTTAGTCTCAGCCATTGAGGCCTGCTGCTTTGTCTCAGAGAAGGGACTTGTCTCAGTTTGTCTGTGCATACCCACCCCACCCGAGCACAACCCTGACTAGAGGGTTCTGGGGGGGATGAGCCCCCGCAGGGCCAACACTGTGGAGTGTGGTAGAAGACACACTTGTCAACTCTTGCTAAAACTCAATGACAGAAGACGGGTGCTTTGGGGCTGTAGCTGTGGCCCCCCAGGGTCAGAGACGGACTCAGGTTGCCTGGACTCTCTCCAGATTGGCTCCAGCTCAGTGTGGGCTGACTTGCTTCATGGCCATGGAGGGCCCCTTACAGCACCAGTGCTCTCTACCTCAGGGACATCCGGTGGGCTGTCCCTGCCTGAGCAGTACCTTGGGTGGGAGCTGGTCTCTCTTGTCTCTCTCTCTCTCTCTGGTAGTACTGGGGATTGGAGCCCAGGGCCTCATGCCAAGCAAGTATTCAGCTGCATCCCAAGCTCTTTTTATTTTATTTTGAGACAGGGTCTCGCTAAGTTGCCCAGGCTGACCTCAAACCTGTGATCTCTTGTCTCAGCCTCTCAGGTGGCTAAGATTACAGGTGTGCACCACCGTGTCTGACCAGGCTCTGCCTCTTCATGCCATCACCCTGGTGCTGGGGATCACGGGCCTGTGCCAGCACGCCAGGCCCCCTGTTTCTCTTGGTGCTTTTGACTCGGCTCTGCTGAGCAGCCTGTGCAGTTCCTCTCCAGGGCTCGCGACACCCCTGCTGGGCAGACGCTGCCTGCTGCCACTCTTGCCTGTGATAAGCACGGGGAAAATGTCTCGTAGACTGAGGTCCTGTTTGCCCTTGTCTTGGAATCTTCCTTTCCTTGAATCTTTCCTGTTCCATCCTAAGCTTGAGGTCCACTTAGGAACCTAAGCTGGATTCCCCGCTTCTTTTTCCTAGAGCCCAAATCCCAATGACCAGTTTCTGAGTACAGCACTCAGTAGCTTCTTAACTAACACAGTGGTTTCTAAATTTAGTTATTCATCAGAAGCACCCAGGGTGCCGATTAAAAATGGAGAAACAAATTCCGTGTTCCACTGAAAATTCTGATGAGGTGTTTGTGTGCTGCATCCCTTGGTTGATTTTCTTGGGGATGAGGTGTGGAGTCACGCTCTATGCTTGTATACTCCCCGTGTGTTCCCAGGCCCAGCGCCAGTCTCTGCCTTCACCCCGTCTTTTGTAGAAGACAGTCACCACAGCACCCTCTGGGCCCAGAGCAAAGCTCACTTCAGGCCCTTGTGGGCTGGGCTTCCTTGGTCTCTGAGAAGCAGGTGCTGTTCCCTCCCCTCATGGATGGCTCAGGCCCCGGCTCAGGGCAGCTGGCAGCGGCGGCATTTGGAAGTTGCAGAGCCAGGGAGCAGGGTCCTGACTTGGGTATTCTGGCTCCAGAGCCCCAGGGTGAGCCAGGGGTGCTCAGAGGGCTGTGAGCAGGAGGCTGACCGGCCAGGAAAGAGGAGAGTCCAGGCAGAGGAGGAGGCCGGCTTTGAGCCAGGCTCTGGAGGAGAAGCCGGGGTAACAGAAGTCCTGGTGGGTGGGTGGGTGAGGAGAGCCGCAGGGCTCCTTCAGCCTGGTCCTGTCACCTGCCAGGGTGGTGTCAGCTTTGTGTTGCCTACTGTGCTGCTCCTTTCAGCCTGCACAGCAGGTGTCAGTGGGACATGGTTCCAACTGTGAGGCCCTCACTTCACAGCCCCGGTCCTTCCCACGGTTGCTGCTCCCTGCTGGGTCACTAGGGGGTGCCATGTGCACCTCTCCACCCGTCACCCTTGACTGGCGCCAGTGCCGGAGCCCTGTGTGGGAAGGGTCTGGATGTTGCTGAGTGCTTGCTGCCTGCCTGCGGCAGCCGTGCCAGAGCCAGAGAACCTGGACTTGGCAGCAGGTGTACTGACTCCACCTGGACCCTGTCCCTTCCTGTCTGTGTAACAAGCAAGGTTCCTCATGTGTCCTGCTGACGGAGCCTGTGGCGCAGTGTCACCTGGAGGGTTTAGTGGTCTGATAGCTGAGCCTTGCCTGCAGGAGCGCCTGGTGTGGTGGGCCCAGGCCGTGTCTGCGAGTTTTCTTCCCCCATAGTGCTCTGCAGGCAGGATTTGAGGCTATGCATTTCAGCCTAGCTCCAGAGCCTGCTGAGGCTCCCGGGTGTGGGAGCAGCTGGTAGGTTCTTGCCGTGGGGCCTGGGTGTTGGGGGCGCGGGCCGCAGCCCCCTGCATCTAGTTGCAGCTGTCCCCTGCCTTCCAGGACCTGCCCTCGTTCACCCAGAATGTGCACAGGCTGGTCAATGACCTGCGCTACTACAGACTCTGCAACGACAGCCTGCCCCCCGGCACCGTGAAGCTCTAGGAGCCCTGCGTGCCGCTGCGGCCTGCTCACTGCCCGAGGGACACGGGCCGCTGCCCCCTGCACCACCTCCACCTTCTGCCGCAGATGTCTCCTGGACAGGCCTGGCCACCCCCCGGAATCTCACGCCCTGAGCCACGCTGCCTGGATTCAGGGTCCATCTGAGCATTGGCTGGAGGTCCCAGTCCAGGGAGCCCCTGGCAACCCCCAGGGGTGGGCCGTGCAGATCATGTGCATATCAGCCGAGCAGAAACGCCAAGGACAGCTTACGACAGTGCCACCTTCTCACCATTCCACCTCCCCACCCTCCCGGCGCAGCCCGCCATGGAGAGAGCCGCGAGTGGGCGCTGCCTCTGTGGAGCCCGCCCGATTGCCTTGAAGTCCCTGCTCATTGTCAGGGATTTGCAAAGACTCCTGGGTCTTTTTTTTTTTTTTTTTGTCCTTGTTTTCTCATCATTCCATTGTGATACTAAAGAACTAAGAAGCTTAATGGGAAAATAAAAGCTTACAATGTTGTTCTATAAATTCCGCTTCAAGAGCTTCATTCCATTCCTCCTCAAGGCTCCTCCAGGTGAGTGGGCCGTGCTGGGGGCACAGTGGGCAGCAAGGGGGAGCCCCTCTTTGCCCTTGGCAATCACAGCAGAGGGGTGCTGACGGGGTGGGGTCTGACTGCGTCCCACGGTCTTCTAGAAAACACTCTAAACTTCTAAGCCATGTGGAAAAACGCACTCAGTGCCGGGAGTGGGTGTGGCCAGCAGGCAGCCTGTGATGGAGCAGGACGCAGGCCCTGCAGCTACGGCATGGCGAGCCTGGACCTTCCCCTCCCAGAAGAGGATCCCCCCCACAAAGGGCCCCACAATGGACCCAAGTCTCACCTGAGCACGCCAGGGAGGTGTAGAGGTCGCCGTGGGTGCCAGAAGACAGCTGGGCATGGGTGAGGCCCTGCCCCCTCTGAGTGAGAGCCGGGTGGAAACGGCATCTGTGCTTGCATGCTTCAGAACAGATCAGCAGGGGCTCTTGCCCCAAGATGCAGTGTGACTGGACGGACAGACAGAGCTGGGTGGATCTGCTCACCTGGAAGTGAGGCGGGCAGTGGCTGCGCCTCGGCCTCTTGGTGAGCCAGGATGCAGGAGGGAGTTGGGGGACGCTTCTGTTTCTGAGGCCTTTATGGGAAGGAAGCCTTTGCCTTAGACTGGGCCAGCCTGAGGTGTGTGAGTGTGTGTGCACGCGCACACTCGCATGGGACTTCAGGTATGCCTCGAGGCCCCTCTGCAGCCCTGCGCCTGGCAGCTGCGGTCAGCCCCTCTGCAGAGCTGGAAGGGAGTGCTTGGGAGCTGGCTGCTCTTCTGCAGGGGCATCGGCCTCCAGTTCTCCCCAGGCTATAAATAGGCCTCACCTGTGCACTAAGGAGGCTGGGGAGGCTTTCCACTCTTTGAGGTGGGGGATGAGAGGTGGGGCTTGTCCCTGTGGTCCCCACTCTTGGACAGGGAACACCGGCAGGAGCTGGGACAGTAAAGGAGCAGCTGAGGGGAGGGAGCAGGCTCGGGTGTTGGGTTCACCGGCTGTGCCTCCACACCCGGCTGATCTGGTTCTCAGGGGCAGTGCCCCAAACAGGGCCTGTACCACGCAGGCCTTCAGAAGCCGGGTGAGTCAGGTGAACTACTGGACTCTGACAAATCCAGAGGTCGTCCTTGCATTCCTGGACGGGGAAGGGTGGAGATGGACCCTGCTGAGCCGGACTGCTTTTTGTCACCTTGGAGTGTGAGGAGGATGCCCCATGTTCTGCTGTGGCCCACGTCCTGGCCTCTTTTGGTTTATGTCACATCTACCAAAGACAAAGCCACCTGCTTTGAGATCTGATGAACTTTTTCTGTTTTCTTTTTTTAACCTGGGCACTCTCATCGGGCTATACTCCAGCCACTTTTATTTTTTGTGACAGGGCCTTGATAAACTGCCCAAGCTGGACTGGATCTTGGGATCCTCCTGTCCCATCCTCCCGAGCCGCTCAGTGTTACGGTCTGATGTGAGGTGTCCCCCAGAAGCTCATGTGTAAGACAATGCAAGAAGGTTCAGAGGGAAGATGATGGGTTATGAGAGACTCTACCCAAACAGGGGATCCCCTGATGGGGGTGAACTGGTAACTGGAGGCAGGTGGGGTGGTCATTGGGGGCGTGGCTTTGGGGTACATACCTGTGTCTGGGGAGTCTCCACTTCCTGATCACCATGCCGCCTGCTTCCTCCCCACACTCCTGCCCTGGTGTCCTGCCTCACCTTGAGCCCCAGGGACCAAGCCTCCAAATAAAACATTTTCTCCTCTACAATTGTTCTGGTCAGATCTTTTAGTCACAGCAGCGAAAAGCTGACTAAAACAGAAATCAGGTTCCGGGGTGCCATGGCGCCCGCCTGATGGGATCTCCGTCCTCGCCAATTGTATCGTTCTCCTCCACGGCTGGCCACTGACCTCGTGCAATGAAAGGTGAAGGTTTTTGTTTTAAAACAGCAAGTATTTTTCTCCCAGCTATAAAATGTTCATGACAGACTGTAAACTATACAGAACATTCTTTAAAAATGACCATCTAATCCTCTGCCACAGGAAACAGCCGCTGATATTTTGGTGCGTCCTCCTTTCTCCTTTCCCTGTATGTGTACAAATGCGCTTTTTCTTTTCTTTGTTCCCATTGGTAAACTTGAGCTCTCCCTGTGTCGTAGGCTCCTTTTTGTACACTATATTGTGACCTCCCATTTTTTTTTTTAAGTTTTTCATGCCTCTTTTTTTTTTTTTTTTTTTTTTTAAGAGAATTTTAATGTTTATTTTTTAGTTCTCTGCGGACACAACATCTTTGTTTGTATGTGGTGCTGAGGATGGAACCCGGGCCGCACGCATGCCAGGCGAGCGTGCTACCTCTTGAGCCACATCCCCAGCCCCGACCTCCTCATCTTATTAATATTCTACCAAAACCTGCTCCCTGTGGCAGGTGGCGTCTCCACACTCGGAGGTGCCCTGTCCTGACTGTCTGCCCTTGTGGCCGCCCTGAGCGTCCGTGTGCAGGAGTCCCTGTGGTTGTCTGGTTTCTTCCGACGAGGAATTGCTCCTAGGTTTGGCCTCATGGTGGGGACTGTTGGAGCTCGATTTCTGTTCTGAAAAAGGATGGGAGTTGCAGGCTTTGGAGTCGCCAGGAATCTGAGCAGAGAAGCTCCACATAGACCACTGGACTCCATCAACCCTGTCTGTGCATCTTGGAGACTCAGGCCCGAGTCAGGTCCCTGTGCACTCTGAGCGCCTTTGCTGTCCCAGAGCCCTCTCCATTGCCACATGTCTCAGGGCAGCTGACGGGGACAGGACAGGTGGGTGCTTCTAGTTGGCTCCCCGGGCTTTGGCAGGACCCTGATTGGTGGCCAGTCATCAATTTAACATACGTCATTTCTCAAACTCTTCTGCAAGCCAGGTACTGGCTGCGGGGAGCGGGTGGCAAGACAGACCCGCAGATAATCTGCTGCAGAGTGGTGTGCTCAGCATGTGGTGGGTGGGGACAGGTAGAAGATGTTGGAGGGAACAGGTGGGGCTCTCCCCAGGTGACAGTCATCAGGCAGCTCCGTGGAGCATGTGAATTTGTCAGGAACTTGGCAGTGGGCAGATAGTGGGGCCGGGTGGGGTCTCCAGGACAGGGTGTAGAGCCAGAGAGGGGACAGGATTTTCTATCTGGCTGGAGCTGACACATTGCGGGTCACCAGGAAGGTTTGGTGGGGCACTGGGGAACATAGCTGTCATCTTTTCCCTTGAGACCAGGCCATGGTGAGCAGAGACATTCTCGGTGATAACTGGGGCAGCAGGTGTATGCCAGGACTTGTGTCTCCTTGGTCATGGGAGAGGAATCCCTGACTGTCACAGAGAAGACAAGAAGCCCTGGGACAGATGGGTGGCAGGCAGCATTCTGGTGGGCGTGATCTGGCCACCTGGGGCCTCCCAGGCAGCTCTGGGTGGCTACTGCTCCTCCTCCTCCTGCCCCAGGGCCCCTTTGTCCCTTCTGGTCACTGGTGCCAGGTGTCCCCCTACCAATAGGAGAACTCGAAGGCAGAGATGGCCCTGCTCCCCAGCACCTGGCATTGGGGCTCGGCTCGCAGCAGATGCCCCCAGGATGTCAAGCTGTGAGGATTTTTCAGATGTAGTCACACTGGGTGCCCTTGACTAACTTTCAGCCTAAGGAAGCCCCGTCCTTGGTGACTGGGGCCTGGGCTTCTCCCGGGCTCCGCGGGAGGCGGGAGTGCAGCTCTCAGCGCTATCACCTGCAAACATCTTTTCAAAGCCTGTTAATTAATTGGCTCTGGCCTTGGGCAGTGGCGAGGTGGCAGCTCGAGAGCACAGGGCAGATCCGTGCCTCCTTGTCAGAGCTGCTGCCCGCTCCCAGGGGCTCTGAAGGACAGTGGCAACCTGCACAGGGTCACGGGTAGGGGAGGGTGGAAAGTTAACTATCTAGACACACCACCCGCGAGATCCACAGGCCTGACGTGGCAGGCGTTTGGACAACAGGTAGATTTCCTTTTTAGAAGTCAGGGCCGGGGTGCGGCTGTGGCAGGACACTTGCCTGGCCTGCTCAAAGCCCTGGGTCCCATCCCTAGCAGTGCACAAAATACCAAGTGTTTCTTCCTCCCTTTTAGTGTGAAAATAATACGGGTCTTTGAGGATAAATAAGCCTCTGAAGGCACTCAATAATGGTGAGTGGGCTTTCCGACCTTTCTGTGCATTTATGTGCATCTAGGCATCCATCAGGAGTAAGGTCATGTTACATGCAGGTCAAGGTCCCCCTGCCCCCAGGCCTGGCACAGACCCCTTCGGGAGGCCCCTGGAGACCCTGGCTGTCAGTCTGTCTCCTTCTAAGCCAAAGACTGGCCCGGGGGGCAGACCCAGCCTGTGTGGAATTGGATCCGGGCCTCATCTCCGACCCACACTTGTGTTCGGATCCTCACGGGCCCAGGCCAGGCACATGAGACACACGGTCACCTTGGAAACCCCGAGGATGGCCTAGCCCCATCTGCCAAGGCTGCAGCTTCCCCCACCCCAGTCCCAGTGCGCCCCGCAGGGTAGATGATTCCCGAGCTCCCGAGTCGCAGTGACCTTGCTTCCAGCCTCTGAAGGGCACTCAGTGGAAGTGATGCGGCTCCTGGAGAAGGATGTGCCCGGCATCTTAATCTCCCCTCACCCAGCTGCCCGGGAGGGCCGGGAGCAGGGGAGTCTGGGGCTGGTGCTAGGTCACTGGTCTGTTCTGTGGCATTGCCCAAAATGGTCCCCCTGCCTTCCACAGAGGAGACCAGCCCAAGGGTTTGCCTTCTGCAGACACCCACCCCACCCTTTAGGATTCCTTAACCTTGAAGCAAATACCTCCTCGTGAGGCCACTGAAGCCCAGAGAGGGCAATGATTTGCCCAAGGCCACAAAGGCTTGTCTGCCTTCTCATCCACTGGGGGCCTGGGAAGCCTCAGCTATCCATGACCTCACACAGGAAACAGGTCCTCTGTCACTGTTCCCAC